GTCGGCATCTACTCTGGCACAAGAGCTTAAGTCTGTACCCAAAGTATTGGGTCGCCGATATCAGCCTCCTACTAGGGCCAGGTCACTTGCACTGCTGAGTCTCGAAAAGAAGCGGGACCTGTCTTATACTTCTAGCAATGATGACGACCGTCTGAAAGGTTGTTCTCGTGATGTAATATATTTGGATGTAGTCGACAAACAGACCGGGAACTAGAGTAAAACGAAGGAGAGCACAATTTTCCAAGTAACCTTTCTTTGTACAACTTCAGGACGACCTCGTGTCCCAAAAACATGTTTTATTTCTTCGCCGACATTTACACCAATACTTATGACAATCAACCATTCAAGTTTTGATGGCGGCGCTTCCGTAGTCTCATTATACTGGTGGACCCTCCGAAACTAACCATATCTCATCTAGTAATGATATTAACAATGCAACTTAGGTAAGCAAATGGTTGGACTTAAGCATTTACTAGTGAGAAGACTGAAATATAGTTTATGAAGAAACCTATGGTGTTTTCTGAGCTGTAAGCACTCGAACATGTCTTTGATGACCTCCGGCAGACTGTGTATGTGTTGTTGTCATGGCTTTGTAGCGACACCTGTGGTGCTTAAGGGCCGGCAATTGCACAACCAACAAGCTAATCCTCATGACCCCAGTTACCACAAAAGGAGATGACTGATTAGACCAGGGAGCAGTGGGTTGTCACCACTTTAGCCCATACAGTGTGAAGAGTTGGCAGCCATCCATCGTTGCCACCTATTGAGTGGGGGCGCCGAAGAAGCATCGTGGAAGAAATTACTTAGTGGGAAAATTTATTTCCTTGTTTGAATGAGTAATATTTATACACTATGAGAATATTCTGAGCAATGTATCTCTGGTGAACGGTAGAGCATGAATAAGGCCACTCAAAATATCTGCAAACTGCTCAATCTGGTAGGCTGCATTTAATCCCTTACGGTTGAGCTAAACTAATTTGCCACAGCCATGTAGGTGCAAAGTGCATCACTTAAAAGCAGTGGTAGATCACGGCGGACGTAGAGCGTGCTCTAGTAGGCCTCGGAAAGCTCACCGTGCGATCGCTCCCTTCATGCTACGCGTGCAAGTAGCACTGGCTATAGCTCCAACTCGATTATATTGGGGACATGAAAGGCGACTGTCGCCTTCTTGATGACTAAGTGTCGCTAAAATGCCCGGACGGATTGGGCATGTTACGAACGCTGACAAGCTGCCTATCCAGTCTGATACCGTTACATTGATTATTCTTTTCGGGTGACGAGTACTCTAGTTGAGAAAGGAGCTGCATACGCATGTGCCATTGTGCCCAACGCTACATCAGGGGTAGCTTTGTTGTGTTACTACCAATTATGGTGTTCATAAATACAATCGTCCATCTTTGAGTAGTATGTGTGTTGTAGTCGCATGAACCGACTTCGGACTAATTGTGCATCTCTTCTGAGTGACCCCGCTCTCCCCAAGAAGTTTATTCTCACAGCTTATTTCTGGTTTGAATGGTTCGGATAGGGCTGTACATGATACGTTTACGATGACCTTGAATGCCTCTGCAGTCACTGTAGTCATGTGGATGCTAGCCTTTACATTAACAGACAGATCTTAAGTGAAGTTGTCCAACCATTCCATGGATTCGATGCAAAGGTGGATCACCAATCGACCTAACAGCATTCGACGTAACTTTATGCCAATATTGAGGCTTAGTTTGTGCCAGAACTCAAGACGCGTTTTGCGCTGTTGTTTGCCGCTTCCAAATGATGGTCTTTAGGGTGGATGGATGTCGACGTTTTATTCTGCAGTGAGTTTCATTGCGTTCCTAAAGGGTTGGGGGTTTTGGAGCTTGACTCGTAACTTCTGCACCATAGGTTCGAATCTCCACTCTAGGGTAGCGTTGGGCATCCGGTAGTATTTCAGTGCGCATGTAATTCCTTTCGACTGAATGGCAATAAAGCAGAATGCTATTGAGCGACAGATAAATGAACCAAGGTAGGCATCTTCAACCTTGGTGACCATTTAACTACTTGTAACCCACCAACAAAGCTTACTCTGACATCACTTCTTGACAGATGAAGGGTGCCACCAGTATGCCTTGATCGGCTAGTCAGGTTACATCTTGGTAGATCGGTTTTCGAGTTAAGGTTCTTCCATATGCAACTGGGAGGTATTGTTTGTAAACTTGGGACGTTAGACGGAGTTAGCAGGGTAGGTGCATAGCTCATTTCACTGGTTTCTCGCTGTCTGAAGCATTTACCATGTTCTGTCATTTAAGTGTACTCCAGTTTGGCCCTCAGCCAGCGAGTGCACACACTCCGAAGTCGAGTCCCACTTTGGGTGAGCTTCGCAGTAATCACAGTAGCAGCCGCCATTGCTGGGCAACTGCATTTTCCATAATTCCAGGGCACGGAGACCCGTCTCCCCCAAGCACCATGTCAACTAGTATCATACCGTGCAAACTGCCAAACATTGCAAAATCACAGTTACATTTCTCTATTGAACTTCATGTGAGCTAAAACGAAGCATGACAAAGGAGGATCGGCCGCTTCCTTGGTCTGGAGCAATACAGCTTCAAGTTTCGCAAATAACCTGATGGCAACAACAAAGACAATAGTGCAGGCCGAATGGCGTGGCCTCAAGCACTTTGGTTGTTTATGAAGGACTAATTTGAGAAAATAGCTACGTATTCCATGTGCGTACAAAAGTCTAAATGAAACCTCCAGCATATGGGGTAACCTCATGATGTCCTACTATGTACGGAGTGATCCGAATCACGGTTGACGCATCCGTCGGAGTCCCACCCACAACACCAAGCTAGGTAGCCAAGCGAAACATCTGGTCACTATATTTGCTCGGAGAACTGTCGGAATGAGTTTGCACCTCAGGTTTGTACACCATGGAGCTCTTTCACAAATTCGGTTGCTTCTGCTTCCATGTTGATTCGATCGGAGAAGGGTTAAAGCCAGGAAACAGATTTCCCATCACTTTGGCAAATGAACTGATGAACTCCAGAGTAAATCTTCACGATCCATCCTACTTGGAAAAGTGAGACACGTGATCGTATGTAAGATACTACCGATGAGTCAGCTCAGCACCTTCCCCGCAAGTAACATTAAGTGCAACAGCCCAGGATGCATCTTAAATATTTCGATCCAACTTATAAGTCTTTCATCGAGACACGTTGTATCATCACTTATCTGATTTTATTCGCGAAAAGATAGAATGCTGCATGTACTTCTGATTATATCAGTTGTTTTTCCAACGGGCCTTGGTAAGTAGTGACAATTTTAGCCTTTCTAAACCATTCTTCCATTACACCAAAGCTCAGTTTGCCCACTCTTTGGAAAGACGTCCAGAAAAATTTACTGTGGAGGTGTATGTCTATCTTGAATGGAGTGACGTAACGGTTTGGGAACAAAGACTTGTTCTTCATCGTCGTGGATAAAATTAAGCCACCCATCTGACTTATCATGCACACTGAACTGCTCCTTAGTTCTGATGCGTTGCTTTATTGATGGATAACCTTGATAGGTCCCAAACCTATCTTCGGCTTTTTCATGCGACTTTGTTGATATATCCATGAGATCCGAAATGATGGATACAATTTTAGTTTTTCGGATACGGTTCTCTTGGTTCACCTCTTGTTCCAAACGCAAGAGCAGATTCGAAGAATAGACGTCCCGACACGAGCCTCCCATTGCCCTTTCGCCACTTTCATGTCGATCACTTCTAGACGAACAAACATACACTCCGAGGGGAACAGTGTTTGTACACACGTGTGAGTGCACCTAAACGCTCATTAGGAGGATTCCGAAACAGCAGGGGACTGTTGGTGTGTCTGAACACACCAATGGTGAAACTTTCATTTCAAGAAGCTGCCGGGGGTGATAAGACACGCACACTGGCAGGCTGGAAGCCCCACTGGTAGGCGTATGTTCAGTGGAAGCACAATGAAGAAACAGAAATTGCTACGGGGCATCGCAACCCGGCTCAACAACGCACAAGGATTTGGCCTCCAGGTGTTTGTTGCGACTGAGTATAGTTATGTTAAGAATATTTTTGCGCCACTACCCAAGGAAACTGGACCGATGACAAGACTATCTCTGACAACATTGAAGTCACTACCGAGGGACATCCGTGAGGTCTATTTGGGAATTTCGTTTCATAAAGTTACTAGCACGATGTCCCATAACAAGAAGCCAATGGCGAAACCAATGTAGGCAGGCTAATGAAAAGAACTCAGTGAATATGGACAAAGCGACAGTAATTCAGTCTTCGGACTATCGACAGACATTGGCGTGTAATTCATCCATCTCCGAGATTGACTCTATTCGATTACTTTCAAGTACTTAATCCGTTAAGTGGCAGTGGATTGCAGGCTTACCCAGTCCTTTGGATGCTGGGTAACGAGGTTGAGCTCGCTAGGCTTTGCCTCATTATGATTTCCGGTAGTTCCCCACTCCCCCATAGACGTTTTCATGCCTGAACATTACTTTTATTATCTTGATGTTTGCTTCTCATATTGATTTACATGGATAATATTAGGCGCCGATCGATTGCTTGATAATCTTACTAACGGAGATCTGTACCTTCGCGTCCCAGTGATCATGTCCCGACCCGATAATAAGTACAAACATTCACGCCGATCAGCCAAATGTTTGGACACCGAAATGTAGGCTTCGGTTACACACTGATGCACTGTTTAGCCACTGACAGTTTAGGTGAAGCTGAATGACGGGGAAACTGATAAATGTCTCAAAAGTTGGCTGATTTTACAGCCGATAGGTAATTAAAGTTGCAGAAGTTTCGTCAATATAACAGAGTTTCACATGGAATCTTGACCCCATTTCTCACTTTCCATGATATCACTCAACCTAAAGCATACTAAAGATTCTGTGAATTAGATGTGTCATAAAAGTTTTATTTAACCATACGATGTTCATGTGTTCCTTACGCGCTCGAAATCAACCTAACTCTATCTCTTCCACTTCAGATTGTTTGGCTCATCTAGAAAGTCAGTATCCTGTGCTGCGTGCCGGCGCCTCGTCTATCCCTACGATTTAGTTATGCGAAGTCAATTATGCGTGTATCATTTAGAGTGTTTCACCTGCAGTCATTGTCATCGACCACTTCTACCTGGTGAACGATATGCGATGCGACGAGGCCAACCAGTATGTCAGGCTGACTTGATGCTTTTTGACAGCTTTAGTTGCCCATCTTCAAATTCACCAGAGAAAGATGAATGCTGCAGACTGAAGAATGACGTCTCAGACAGTGTCCGCTTTGTACTGGAACGGTCACACGTAGATGACAGCCAGCCATTCCTGACGGCAATGCCGAGGGGCTCCATTTCACCTGCAGAAAGTCCACGGTCCAAATCTTCTCATCCGCCACATCAGGTCCAGCCGGAAGTTGAGCCTTATCCGTCGGCACCCACAAATGAGTCAGCAAGCCCGACGATAAAGGAGCCTCCATACGTATTATATAAAACTGAAGCGTCATCGGCATCCTTTGACAATCATTTACGTTCGCTGATATGCTCTGCCCACACGCCCCACGAATGCAACGATCCGAACGACTTGGAGACCAATCGAAGCAGCTACCAGGAACACCTTGCGCTGCGTTATCCAGCAGTGTCGCTACTTCTTCCTCCTTCAAGCGCGTCAGTTATCTTTGACCCCCAATACGCCGAACATACTCCAGGAATCTATCCATCCGGGCCGATGCTGTCAATCTCCCATAAAAGCGACACCTCGCAAAATGTGACGCTTACAGCCTGTTCAGAGAGTATGCACTCCGCAATGCCACCACTGGTGAAGTTGTGCCAAGAACCCAATGCTGTGAGTGCACTGGCAACAGGGATGTTGTTAGGCTCGACTTCGTATGATATGTCATTCACCAACTTCCCCCTTCTGCTATCCCCGAAAACATCGAACTTGCTGAAACTGACCGAGACCAGTGCTGCTTTCCGATACGCCGATGTGTCTGCTGCTTCCTCAATGTTAATACGTCATCAGGCACAACAGAAGCGAAATCGGAAGAGGAGAGCTGGGTTGCATCAAAACTACGGTAAGTGAAAACGAAATAACACACGCCAAAAGTAAAAATTTCATTGCCAACTTCCGTGGCCATAATATTTGTATAAAGCATGATATTGATCTTTCCGGAGTACGTTTCCTAGTTGCAATCTCCGTGCTCAAGTGACATCAACACTGGTGGCGGTTTATTAGAAGGCAGAAGGTAAGTTATCGGAGCTATGTCCGACAGTTCAACATCTTTTCGAAATGTGGTTGCACTTGGCAATTCACTCACGGTGCAGGATCAGCAGTTACTGGGTCACCACAGCGGGTTGTGCCAAACCATGGCGTACTTCAACTCATACATAGATTTAGTCAACAAAACATGTTGAATGGGTAACCATCGTCACTGCAAAAGCTCCCTCGCTGTCCATGGCCAGTTGAATTAGGTTGGTGTTTCGGAAGTTTCCTGTGCCGTAGTACGGAGATGGAGTCGCTGGTTTCCCGAGAAACGATACATGACAGAGAAGTAGAATAACTTGGTAAGTGACCAGGTGGATTATGTTGAAGCACTGGCTGTGTGAGTGAAACGCGACGCGCAATCTCAAAATGGACCGTGATTCACACTGAAATGAAGGTTAATTCAATTAATGGGACCGTAATTGAAGCAAGTAGATATTAGGTGTTGCCTGCCCAATTGCGTGTTGCAGTCTATTCGCACAACAAATGCTTTAATTTGACCATCCAATCAGTCATAAACCGTTGTAACAAGCGTTGCTGGTCTTGACCCGTTGCCTTAGGTGTAGTATATCCGGCTGATATTTCAGGAGCCCCGGGTGCGAGCGCCTGCTATTTCTACCGGATGAGATCAAATAGGTTCGGAATCGGCTGTGCGATGTGGTGTTTTTGGGACAGCAGCACCCAATAGTCTTCTGTTTTAGTTACGGTTCCGGTATTCGAAATGAGCAAACTTCAATTCAATGCAAATCGCGGTCCACATTGTGAACTCGAATATAACTGGTGGCTTTGGCTCCATGTTTAAAGTTTGAATTCAACAGTAGATGCATTTACTTTTTTCCATTACGTTTTGAGCGTTTATCCTTGTGTTTGCGCTAGAACAGATAATAAAAATATAATTCCAAAACCCAACATTAAACTTCCAGACATCATGTGGTGCGCGCTTTGTGGAGCTCAGAGTCTCAGCGCTCAAGCACCACTCTTGTGATTCCAATTCCACCTCCACGTATCTATTTGGTGGACGATGTTGGTGACGAGCAAGGTCGTTAACAACTTCAATCATATTGTGATTGGTTATCACGAACCACCGCCTGTCAGGCGATTCACGTGACTAGTGCGTGGATAAAATTGTTTGTGACCAGCCAAGCAACGATTTGGTCGTGTGTATTGTCATGTACATACTTACACTCGATTCCAGTTTAAGTAGTGGGCGGTACAACGGTATATGTTCGCTTGATCGATACATGCTAGGAGAACCTGCGGTGACGATCTACTACGTTTGCAACACAGGGATGATTGCAAAATGTTGTTATATTGTCTCAGTAGTGGGTTGTATGCACTGTGGTTACCAGAAACACATGCGTCCCGGTCTTATTCCTTCGGGTTTACACTGGATATGGGGTGTGTGGATGGAGCTGTGGGTGGTGCAGTGCAAACCACCCATGGTCCCTCTGTAGGCGCATGCGTTCTGTGGCTGGCCACAGTGACAAGCAAATCCGGAACCGGATGCAGACAACCATACCAAAAGCACATAATAAGTACATTGTTCACCACATACAGTACTGCTGGTTTCTAGGTTTTATATGAATTCACCCACTACCTCTGCAATGCACAACCCATAACGCAAGTTCCAAAGGCAGTCAAAGGTAAATCCGATGATCCAGCCGTAAGAGACCGCTTCCTGAAGTGTTTGTTGCACACCGATTAAAATCAGTCAAATTTAATGAATTTTTCTTGCATTTAGTGCAGATTCACTTTCTGAGATTTTAGTGTGATACTTTCATGCCTTACGCTTATGTTTCATAGTATTGTTTTGCATCTTTGTAGAATCTGTGTGCTTGAACAATATGCCTGGGTTTTGTCCAGGTGTTTCAACTCGTCAAAAGCGCATGCGTACCTCGTTCAAGCATCATCAACTTCGGGCTATGAAAGCTTACTTCAATATGAATCACAACCCCGATGTAAAGGACCTTCGAGTGTTGACAGAGAAAACAGGATTGTCCAAACGGGTTCTTCAGGTAGGCGAGCGTTGTGGAGAGTTATGCTGGCCGCTGCTTGTGTCTGAAAACATTGATGTTTTGACTAGGCTTCCTTTACAGATGTACAAAGATTGACAGTTACAAGTTTGCTTGCACTAGAAGTTTCCCACTATGGACTTCGAACATGGACGTATCTCGAGTATTAAACTCATAATGAGAATGTTTAAAACACATAGGGTAAACATATGATACAGTAAAACTTTTGTAAGTTGACCACTCAAAGTGGTCAACCTGGAGGGTGGTCGACATATAGAAGCCCTACAGAAAAATTAGAGTACCTTACTTTCCCGTTGTGAGTACTGTAGTATGAAATTTATTTTTACGTGCACCCTGTTTCGAGTATATTTGCCGCACTCTTACATAAGGGTAAACAAAGTCCAATCATGTAGTGTGATAATAGATCAAAATGCAGTGTATTTTCTTCAAGTTAACTCATATTTTGAGGAATAAGTCGATCCTCGTCTATTTCTTTCCCTTATCACAAACGTAACTGCAAAAAGCGCTCCCAGCACAAACGACACTACTCAGCATGCTTGGACATCTTTTCACAGTAAATGGCTTCCGTTGCATTAAAAGGTGTCTGACAGCATCCGCCTTTGCGCTTTCTGTGGATTCTGTCATCTTGGTTTATTTCTGCTGCATTATCAAAGGTGCATCATGTGTTCACATAAGGGTGTACCGCAAAATTCATCTTGCCAAGTTATCATCCATATCAACAAGTTATTGAACATTTATCCCTTCTAGTTCTGTCAAAGGATATGTAATGTCTAATAAGGCGACTGCGTCCTGTTCGAGAGTTCGAACGATTCCATTTTTTTGAAACCCATTTGTAATGTCTCTAGCTGAACTTTGTGCCAAGTGCAGCTTATCCAAAACACAGTAACTAACACATCAACTGACGCAGTAGATGAAGTTCAATATCGAATTCTTCAAGCACTCATGCTCATACTATCGGGTGTTTCTAACTGCTGTCTTGCTAACACTAAACTGTTCTGTCATCTTTCTTTGGCTGCTGTTGTCCAGCAAATGACGTAACCGTCACTATAGCCACCATCGAAGTTAATGAGCGGGTGTTGACCCGGCTAGCTTAGAACCCGTTAACCGACAGTTAGAAAGGCACTCAAGCTGATTGCAACCTGTGCAATGCGCACGCACATGTTCCAAAGACTAGGCATGATGCGTGCTTGCGTGAGGAAAGATTTCACATAAAAGCAGTCAAGGTCAATTTGTGAACGCGGATCTTTGGGGACAAATCGTACGAGCTAAACACCTACACACATCAACACTGAGGGGTGGGACACAATTATACACGCACATTCGCGGACGGAGAACATACTGTATGGTGAAATGTCTGTGGAGCCGTAACGTGCAGTGATTATGGGGCAGAAGATATTCGCACACTTCAAAAGCCAAGCAACACAAATTATTCTTTTAACCAACGAATCGTTCGGCAACTCTTGCACACTAAACTTTCACATGGTCACCTGATAGGTCAAATTAATGATGACGGTTATGGCCCAAGTGGTCAATAACAGAGGCCAGATTGGTAAGGTTTACATGGTGAACGTGCAAGCTATGAGAAAACAGTCAACTTAGGGACGTGGTCAGGATACGGAAGTGGCCAACTTCGGAGGTTCTACTCTACTTAGAACCCCAGTGTGGGACGACTAGTAGTATCAAGTAATGTTATAGTGACAGAAACCATAAAGCTCTGACAACCGTGAGTCCACAACAGTTAAGTATCTATGAGGGGGTAGAAAATGATGCGCATCAATCGCAACCTATTGAGCTCAGATTCCAGAGAAAAGATTGGAAACTGGGCTGGATTGCATCGCTGGTCTGGTATTAAGCAGTTTCCACGCTATGGGCATTTATTTAAGTGTGTAAATTATAAGCAAAATTCAGCGAGGTTGTATGCTCAGAGGATAACTGTTTGGGGGATTGAGAACAATACATAACGGGGATCACATTTCGATTCGCGCCTGAGCTAACAAAACACACCCACGCACCCGCATGCTTTGAGATATTAGAAGACGCTTGTCGGCGACCATGATCTCATCGTATATGGCACATAGAGGATCTGCAAGGGGAAAAAACAATATAACAGTTTAGCTCGAAAATCTAATTCGTTTTTGCCTTATTATTTCTTACTCTCACCGAACCAGTGAGACTTTTAAATAAATAAATAAATGGTATATTCCTCGACTGTGCAAGGCACAATCCAGATTAGTGGCCTGATCACCACATAATCTGGGAAATTCAGGGACCCAGATCCTGTATTCAGACGGACGAAAATGGTACCGACGCATCCAACAAGGCTTCAACATCCTGTCCACTGCCTAGTGGTACAGTAACCGGGCAAGTCAAGTGGAAAGCAAAAGAATATCTGTTTCGTAGTCTTGGAATCTACCAAATCCAATTATTACTCTGGGCTAGGAAGCAACATGTTCTTGCATCTAGCGAAAATAGAATATTACATCCACGCGTTTGGCTATGGGTGGATGGGGAAACCATACCCATATTAGCCACGTTAACAGAGCATAGCTGTATCGCAGACCAGGCACGAGAAGGCAAAACATAGTTAGTGGTAGATATATTGTCTGTGTTGTTCGTCCCCAGCGACCTACTTCATTTTGTTCAGGCTTATTTGGTTCGGATTTGATGGTGAAGGACGATATGCGGTAGTTTCAAGCTACACAATTTAAATGAAGGTATCACAATCTTCTGTAGACCTACGTTGGACTCCCCTATGAAATGGAATCACGGTGGGATTTTGCAACAAAGTTTTGGGGAATAACAAAGAGTGCACTGAATTGCATATGCTTAGCCAAAGTATTGATATAGCAGGAGGCCCCAGAGTGGAGGTATGTTGAAGTAACGTTAATGGTCTGATCCTTAGCTGTTTCTTGCTCCACCTGTCACCCGAAATGTGGACCACTGCGGGACACGTGCGGTTGCACAAGGGCCCTGGGTGGCTTGTGCTGCATGTAAGTGCCTCTGGCTGAAACAGTGTACTCTGTATACATAGTATCACATGCGACTTAATTCCAGAAACAGATTGAGAAAAAGCGATGTAGCGGAAACAGGGCATCGTAATTCTAGAACAGTAAGTTCAAATGTACAGAAGAGACTTAGTACTAGGCTTGTGGACAAAACATACATGTTGCTCAGTGGTGAGCCAAAACCGTTCCAGGGATCCGTGCGCCTGGGCATTGTTGAAAAGAACAGCGGTGGACAGCACCACACGCATCGAAGGTGAAAGTGCGTGGCAGTGGTTCGTAAACGCAGTGTGTCAATTAGCCACAGTGATGCAGATACACAAAGGTCGCGTTCGGGTTTTATACTGTGGGTGTTGGTGTATAAATGAACAGTGGACGTACAATTCGGGAAGATCTACATAATGGTTAGTAGATAAAGGATGAAAAAAAACTTCACAGTTTCTGTTTGGAAATTGGAACTCACATTGCATCTCTTACAGCTCCACTGACCTGGACAGTATCGATTGTTAACCAGAAGAACTGGAGAGGAGGGAGTATTTGAGTGACAGCCACGATTGTTTAGGAGCTTACTAATACTGTATCAAAAGGTCTGACCTTAGAGATTGGTCATTCCGCACAACAACGATTTAGTCTTACCGACGTTAAAGGCGAAACAAGTGCCCAAGATGCTGATATGGCCTAGACGGTTCATTAATTGAGCCATCCTCCAGACAAGCCGTATGGCATTTATGGTGCTGTGTAACCTTCCCAACTATTTCAGCCGGGTTCTGGAAGCAACATCTGATGTGAGGTTAGTAAGACCTATTGTACCACACCCAGCCATTTTAGACATTAACATTAACACGCTTCAGGTATACGATCAAACATGCTCAGACCCTTGAGTGTATCATAAGTGCAGAGAGAGTTCCCCTTGTGTGCCATGCCAGCCACGGTACCTGTATAGGTAACTATGGTCATTCAAAGCTTCTCGACTCCGGTATTCGATAATTATTTTTATTCTCTTAAGGGTCATTGTCTTGGCTTCTGTCTACAGTCAATTTTAAACAACAGTAGCACAATTCGTCACCCCTAGCACGAAGGGCGATAGACTTATCTCTAATTGTTTAATCAGAGTTTACCTTTCCGAACTGCAAAGTAGACTCCAGATTCAGAACTGTGCCTCGCACTTTGGGGAGTAGTTATTATGAATCAAGCTATCTCACTCTTACAATGATGCTTCCCAATAAAACAACGCCGGAACTCATACGTTACTGTCGAACTGTGGACCGATTTGGCGCAATGCGGAGCAGCTGAAGGTAAACAGAATTCCCATAGGCATCACCATCGAAAGCATTGAAGGGCATTCGGTTCGACATAACAAGTCGTCTTTGTTTTGAAATTGTTCCAGGAATGGACCCACGTGACAGACACGAAGTTGTGTTTTTGTCACTCAATTAAAAGCATCACCGCGGTGGATCCTATGCACAAAGACCCTCGTAGCCAAACCGAACACAGAGTAGGGAATTCATTGACACAAGTTCCTCGGGTACGCCCTTCCATAGGTTCCGTGATCGCGCGAAACGACGATTAGCTGATAGTGTGGCAGAAAATCCTTGTACCTATTGATGGAATGTTGGGAATCGTTCAACTGCACCACATTGGGGGTCATGGTGTTAAGTAAAGACTGACCCCATTTAACAACCTATCCAATTTGCTTCGAGTGCCAGTAGTACATGATCCAGTGGAACAACACGGAGGAAACATGCAAAGGTATCACTAGGGTGCGCAAAAGCATGTTATGAACTCATACTTATGCGCATGTTCCAAGTTCCGCAATTTTAGTGATACGCTCACCGCGCAGATACCTCACTAATACTCAAGGGAATTCGTATGAGCATGGATGCACTGATCACTGGTGTACAGTGTTACTTTCCGGAAGTATGAAAACTGGTTGGTTGCCTGACACGCAAAAAGAAACCCGGTTCTGGTTGTAAAGTAAAG